CTTCAGGAAAAGCTGAATTTAATTTTAGATCTGATTCACTGTAAAAATGAAAAATCTATCGTAGAAGCATTAAAAAATGCAAATACAAAGCAACCAGTAGGAGAAGGTTGTTACATGTATTGAAGATTGTCTGGAAGAATGTTTAGATGCAAATGAAAACATATACATATGAATGTATATCAGCAATTAGGTTGCAAATATATTAGCAGTTGGCTTAGATGCATTTCTTTCAGGAATAGCTATCAGCTGTTACAAATTCTGTTCACAGTTTTTCTTTGGCATTTGTGATTTAGATCCATCTCATTTGTACCTCTTTTCTGAATGCAGTTCTGAAAACTAGAACACTCTTTTATCGTGTTGGTATTATGAGGCTCTTGCTCCGGAGTCCTTTAGAATACCAAGAAATGTTGCTTAATGGAATTCTTACGGTAATGTCAAATTTGTACAAATCTCTTAACATTTGCTCTTACAAATTCTTGTGCAATGTAATGAACAACAGCTTTAAAATGGTTTTAGACAATGAGACCAAGTTTCTATTGGGTTTAAAGTGGAAACACAACACAGTTAATAAAATACTGTAAAAAAAATTTGATGTTTGAATTTTGTCCAGCTACATAAAAGCTTCAAAATATATTTTTTGGTGTATTAATACATAGGCTGACAGAGCTGTTCATCCTACTGAATGGACAAACAGAGGAATCAGTATTACATTCCTGTTTGAAGGATTGCATCAAAGTGGAGCCAGTTGTAATACTGTGGTCTGTCAAAGTTGGTGGCAAAATCTGCACTGGTGTGATTAGGTTGTGATTTGTGAAGCATCTTGGTTTTTAAACATGCCATCACATACCACTGTGAATTTAGCTAAATCAAATGGAAAAGTTTATTCTAAACTTGGGAGTTTTCAGTAAGCTGATCGACTGACTGGGATTCTGGTTGCTAGATTTTAATACTATGCTCCTTTACTCTTTTCCTGGTGGTTTTTGTGTTTGATAGATATATAAGAGAAATTAGGTATGGCTAACATGGGGTGTTACTTTACTGTCTGACTTAATGTTTCACACTGTATTTTTATAATGAAAGTATTGCTGCTGCACTTCCTCCTCTTTTTCCCATTGCTACCTCAGTAGAATTTTGTTTATAATAAAGTTGTCTCTTGTTATGGTTGACAGGTGAACCTTCAATATTTGGTGCTTTAATAAAACTTTAGCTGTTAAAATGAGACGGTGTATCTGAAGTCGAATCTTCTAAAAATGTAGCTTCACACATTTAGGCCATCTTCAGCATTTCCCAATTGCTATGAAAATCTTAAGAGTAAGAAACCAAGTAGGTGAACTAGATAGGGCAGAAGAACATGGAAGAGGGAAGAGTATGTAGGAAGCATCAGCAGGATGGAAACAGCTTTGATGTTTAACCCAGAATAACTCAGGCTTTTTCACTGGACTGGAAATTGTGAAGAATTGTAACTGGTGAACTAGAGACGGTCTCTTGTTGAAGGGATCCTTTAGTGACAAAAAATGAGGACTGTATTCTTGTAAATAAATACAAGTGCTGGACTCTTACGTTTTCTTTCTAATGGTCATAAACTATGAGATGCCAGATTTTTGCCTAGCCACTTGGGCATGCATTCTTGGGTACAATGCAGTTCCAGGAGTTTCAAGTTACTTATTTCCATTATAAGGGAAAATGGTGACTCCTACTATTCTGGAAGCTAACTATTGACATTTCTAATGAACACTAGTATTTGCTTGGCTGGAGTTATAAAACTATAGGGAAAGGATACTGAGCCTTTTTAGGGCTGAAGTGCATTTTTCTCTGCAGGTTTTTGCTAATTTATATTGCCAGTGAATCTAAAAAATTTTTGCACATTCTCCCCCCCCCCCCCCCCAAAAAACCACAAACACTGAATAAATTAAGCCACTGCTTCTGTTCACATCTGTTTACAAAAGTTTGGGGTTTTTTGACAGGTAAGGAAGGAAAGACATAATTCAATAATATCTGGGATCATATCTTCCACTTGGGTAATCCTAATTAATTTATGACTTGCTGTGGGGTTTTTTTGCATGTAGTTTCTGCAGTGATTAATCAGAATTTTGAAACTGGCAGCCCATAGCAGCATTACAAAAGACAAAGCCAGACCTAAAAATTGTAACCAATTAACTTATTCTACCTGCCTGAGAACCATTTGCAGAGAGAAGTACTCCTCATCTCTGTGAAGTATCAGATGTACTTGAAATCATCATAACAGAACGTAACTTCTGATTTTCACAATGCCAGTGAGCATTCTGTGGAAGGTGCTGTTCCCTGTGACAGGGATGGTCAGTGCTAGACTTAGCCTGTTTTGCATTTAAATTGGATAAAAATGAATACTGAAGCCCTGTATTTTCTAAGGTACTCTGCACTGGTACTTTTTTACAGTAACTACAATGTTGGTGCGTAATAATCTTTCACAGATCCCTGCTAAACTGGGAAAAAAAAATTGCAGAGACTGGAGAGAGTATGGAAAAGTCTCAGTGAGGATCATCTTTGCTCCTCGTTGTCCCTGAGCTTTTGTTTTGCCTTCTGTACTGCTTTTCTATATGTGACAGCACAGAATTTTTCCACTCTAATGTAGACTTCCATGTGCACTTTTTCCTTCCACCTGTGTGGTTCTGCAATAGGGTAGATCTTTGCAGAAATCTTCCCTGGGAGAGGTGGCTTCATCGCTGACGCATCATGGCTCCCGTGGGATGGGTAGGGGATGGTAGTTTGTGGGAAGTATATGTGAATTTATTTTACCATCTAGTCAGAGATGCTAAATGGCTAAAGAAAAGAAGTGAGGCAGAGTCTTGAGTGCTTCAGAGAAAGCTGAGAAGTCTGGCGCTCTACTTCGTACTAAAAGTCTTGCTGTCTTCTGAGCAAGGTAGCAAGAACAAGACCAGCAAGGAGGTACACACCTGGGAAACGTGGCAGCTTGTCATTAGGTGTGATGGAGTCAAAAGTATCTGGAAGGTGACCTAGTTCAATAACTGAGAGAGGACAGAGGATTGTGGGAAGCTGCTGTTTTCTTTCTCTCCAAGCAGACAAAAAAATCCTTAGCCTTGAAAGGATGATGAGCTACTTTTGTTCCTCAAAAGAGTGGTAGCGTGCATAAGAAGAGATTACAGCTGGAATGGAATCAATAATGGATTAATATTAACTGTAACCAAAGAATTAAATTAGCAGCAGTGTGCTGTAGACCACGCAATTATAGGAGGAAACTAACGAAAAAAAAAAAAAAAGTTGAAAAACAGCTTGTGAAAAGAGAAGTTTTCGTATTGGCATGTTGGAAAATGAGACCTTCTCTTACTTAAACTGTATTAAGTGAATTAAATCCAGCACTTTTGTGTGCATACTTTTAAGAAATATTTACAAGTAACAGTCCTTCAATTCAAACAATGCACCTAATTGTAAATGGTGCTTTGGAGGTATTGCTCTACAGAGCAGATATTACCATAAATTACGGTTGACCATAAATTAGCTGGTTTTACAGTTGGGATTCTTCTGATACCAGATGAATTGGTTCAAACTGTAAAAGAGAACAAAAATGGGAAGTGCTAAATCTGTTTGTGATGTTTCTGGAGTATTAAAGTACTTGAATGTGTAAGGAATGAAGGAGGGGAAAAGAAGATGCCTGTAGGAGAAACAGAGCATGCAAAACTTAGAGGTGAGGGAACTATAAAATACAGAGTATAGAAAAATAAGAGGATATTGTGATTTTTTTTTTCTTTAATTATATTTCAAATTAGCCAGGGAGAGAAGATAAATGATAATTGCTTTGAAATCTCCAACAGTGATGGGAAGAGTCCACAAAAGGAGCATTGCAAAAGGAAACATAGAATGAGAAATTTTTATGTTACTTTTGAGTAGTACTTTCACAGATAATTTTTTTTTAAAAATCTGTGATGTACTGCTTGAGAACACCATAGATGTTTTTGTGTTGTTGTATATGTCTCAGCCTTGTATTGTATGGAGCATAAAGGAATGTAAAATGAAAAAATGAGTGCACAAGATTGAAAAAATGATGTAAATCAGAGCTCTAGCCACCTGGTACTGCAGGCAGCTATGGCCCATGCCTTTGCTATGGAGCACCTCCTAAAGGTGCTGAGCTCTTTGTCCCACCACTTCTGCCATTCCTCACTGCAAGGGTTAAAAATGTTCTTCAGCCTCCAGCCTAATTTATTCTTTCCCCACTTGGACTTGTGCTCTTGTAGTCTAACGTTTACACAGCTGAAGGTTCAGTCCTGCACACACCTCTTGTTTCTCAGGAAGGAAAATGCGCAGGATCCTCCAAACTCCAGCTGTTCCAACCATGTTTTTTTCTCATGCTTTCTTTACTCTGTGGAAGGACATAAGATGGGTGGGTTTTCTCTTTTTTCTTTCCTTTTTTTTCTTTTGAGATTACATTTTCAGAATTATACTGATATTTTCAACTGGGGGGAGCGGATGAAGATTGTAACCCTCTTGGGTTAGAGGAGTGGATCTCTGGTGTCCTGAAGAACAGAAGCAGCAGAACCTGTGTCTTAACAGCTCTGTCTGCTTTGTGTTCACATCAGAGGGGTTACCAGGGTAGAAAATGAATGTTTTGTTCATTCTTTGAATATAACACAGGGCAAACTGGTCTATTTCCACATCCTTCCACCGTCTGGTGAATTGGAAAGTTGTATACAAATGGCATGGCAAAAATTTTTAACAAAACTGTCTTGTGTAGAGTGAATGGGGAAAAAAACCTCTTTAATTCAGGAGGAGACCATGAAATCTAAGTATCAATCATGGACTGGATTAAAGCAGACTGATTTTTGTAGCTGTAGCAAGTTTGTGTAATCTCCTATTTTGAGAAATGGAGTGAAGGATAAGATTATTAAAATATTCCTCATATCTGATTCTGTTGTTGTGATAGTAAAGGATATTAATTCTTTGTCTGTGTCCTTATTAAATATAATAGTAAAGCTAAATCCAAATGTTTCTTTTGTTGTTTTCCAAAGGATTCATCCCCCTGAATTCTTCAGAAAAAAATATGCTGTGGATGAAGTCCACTATGTGAACGAGGTGAGTTCTCTATGTCTCTGAGTATTTTTCTATGAATACAAAAATCAATATTGGCAATGATTTTGCTTAATTTGTCCTCTGCTTACTGGATGTCTCCTGACTTGGTGGGACCTTGCCCCCCAGTTACTGGAAGGTGTCCTTTGTTCTTATAAAGCACTTGTAAATATTTTATTTATTCATTTTTAAAAGGCTGCCATTTTGAGCTGAACACTAATGTCTTAATCCAAAGACAGTCTCATAAACGTGTTCTGTGCATCATGAGACCTGTCAGTCTGTGTCTTTATCCAACAGAAACATGTTACTAAATACATTTTTTGCAATGCCTTGGAGATTTGAGGAGATTGCTGTCAGGGAGGTTGCATGTTCAAGCTCCGGCTTAGGAGCCTACAGAGAGCTGTGAGGAAAGGCTGCCTGCCTTACTCTTAGTTTATGTTGAATCATTCAAATATTTGAATAAGCAAATATATTCATATTTTTAATGCAAGTGTGACTTGCTTAGTTAGGTTTCTCATTTCATTTCTGAGCAGATGTTTGTATACTTATGCACCTGGCCAGTTATCTTTTCTTTGGTAGGAAGGCTCAGCAGGGTTTGGGTAGTATTTTTGCCAAGCTCTGTGGGTGATTTTTCATGGCGAGCAGCTTGAAAAGGAAGACTCTGATACTTCTGTCCCTGCAGAGCACTAACTGATTCGCTAGATGGAAAATTTTGCTCTCATCAGCTGTGAGGATGTTTCATTTCATTTTCATAATGAGTCCAGCTATGAAGTGAAGTTTGATCCTGTATTTCAGTACCTGGGGGTGGAGGAAGCTGTGGAGAGGTTGCTTTTTGACGTGTGTGAGTTGGAGTCGTGTAGAATGCAGGCGCTCCAGTGCTCATCTGTCAGACAGTGAAAATTGCAAGTGGAAAATACATGTTTTATTTTTAAAAATCATATTTATTTTGGGTCACCTTAGTTGTTTTGGGTCCTTTTCCATCAACAAATGCCTTTATTGCAGTTCTATTTTCTGCTTCCTTTCTGCTTAAAAAACTCATTGATGGGAAAGAG